GCCACCTGCTCACCAGGCCATTCCCAGAGTTGCTCTGGCCTGGCCAGCTGGGCAGCCGTGGAGCACCCCACGGAGCGGAGAGAGTGGGAGGTGGCATTCAGAAGTCAGCAGATCCAGCCCTCCTGGGGAGATGGACAGACAGGTCAGCAAGGGGAGGCTCGGGTCACACAGGTGTTCAACAGCATCACAGGGCTTGCGAGGCCAGACCGACCAGGGTTTTAACCCAGTTTCCATTCACTGGGCAAGTGCGACCAACTTTGTGAGCCTGGGTCCCCTCATCAGAGGTTACAGTGGTCTGTTCTGTATCAAGCTGTGAGGAGAATGAACTGAGGGTCTGATCCACCCCACGCATGAGGCCCCATCTAGACTGAACTCCACCAGCTTGTGTCACCTACACGACAACCCTGAGAGGCCAGACAGTTAGTGACCCCATTTTACAGATGAGGACACTGATCCCAGAAGAGCTGAGAAGTGCTGCACTTGCCAGGATGAGAAACTGGGCCTGGAATGTCTGGGCCAAAATGGGCCGCAGAGAAAGGAGTAGATCCTCCCGCGGTCTGATTCTCGCCCTGTTCATTGTCTTTGAGCTATTTTGCTCCTCTTTAGTGAGTAACTCATCAGCATGCAAACTCTGTCTTGTCTGGTAGAATTCACTTCCCTCCCTTTTGTGGAGAAACTAGCTTTGCCTCCATTTCTAATTCACTTCTTTTAGTCCATATGAATTTGTGCCTTTTTGATTTTTTCTTTGAACCGGTTCTAACATCTGTCTGATTGCCTCCTTGTTTAACAAGTAAAATAAAGTCTTTAACACATGTTCCCTTCCAGATATGTATGAAAATCAGGATTTTACCTTTTTCTGAAAAGGACCTTTAACAGGGCTGTAGAAATCAATGCCAGATCCTTCTGGCAATAGTCCTGTAAATCGACCTTCCCATTGCCCCTTGCTTACCTCCAGTGCTCAGGATTCAGTGCTGCCGTGGGCATTTTCTAGATGATGCTCCTATGGGACACTACTTATTACCCTTCACTTTACAAATGAGGAAATTAGGGCTCAGAGAGGCAGAGCAACCTAGCCCAGGTTACACAGCTAAAGCCAACCCTTTCTTCCTCTGAAGCTGTGTGTGTGTGTGTGTGTGTGTGTGTGTGTGTGTCCTGCCTACTTGACTACATTGTAACTCCAGCTCCAGGTGGAGTCCAAAGAATACATTTGGAAATGGCCCGGTGTGTGTTGGGGGTCCGGGTGGTGCTGGGGTTGAAAAGCAGGTTCCAGAGGCCTTGGCAGGTCGCTCAATCTCAAGGGAACGAAGCTGCGGCATTATAGTTGGTGGTGTCTTTGACTCCTCCAAACCCGAAAGAATGGCCCAGGCCTCTGCCCCTTCTGACATCTCCCTACTAAGAAACGTGCCCAAAGTCAAACCACTTGTAAGCGGTAGAGCCAGGACTTGAACCCAAGAAGTCTGACCTTGCACGCTGAGGTCTTCAACATCTGGACAGAAACCCAAGTTTGTTCTTCTCAGCTTTGTCACCCTGGGCACGTTATTGAACTCCGCTGAGCTCCTCAACCTCTCACCAAGTAGTTAAGAAAATGGAATTGGAGAACATAAGCTGATGCCAGACACATGGTAAATTCTCAATAAATAGCAGCTGCTTTCTAAGGGTTCATTAGCTCAAATGATGAGCCACCGCTTAGGAGCCCCCGCCATGGGCCAGGCGCCATGGGAGGTACTTTAGTGACATCATCCCCAGGAATCTTCTGGACAACGCCGCTGGAGACACCATTATAATCCCTACTTGACAATTTGATAAGTCATCTGCCCCAAGTTGCACAGGGAGTAAGCACTGGGACTGAGATATAAACCCAGGTTACCTGACTCCAAGGTCTAGACATTGTCCATCTGTGCATTTGTTCATTTATTCGTTGATTCAACAAATACTTATTGGGAACCACTAGGTATACCAAGCACTATTCTAAGAGCTGGAGGGGCGGCAGTGAACCACACAGATGCCATCCCTGCACTCATGAAGCTAATGCTCTAGTTAGGGGAGCAATAGGCAAAGCTTCTGGCCTCTCAAGATGAGGCTGGTCAACCCTGCCATCTGCCACACCAGGTGGGGCAAGGGCCTGATGGGACTTTGGGGCTGGGACTAGACGTGGCTGAGGTGGGGGGCAGGGGAGAGGATCAGGACCAAGTCTGAGAAAGGATGGATACAAAGATGTCTTCGAGAAGGAGAATGGCCTCCGAAAGGAGCAGAGCAGACCCTCTGACCGCTGGGACTGGGGTTCCCCGAGGACAGTCTCCCCTTGGGGTCAACAGTGCACAGAGCTACAAGCAGGCATTTCCGTGCGTGAAAATTCTGACCACACTGAGGACACAGCCTGCTGTGGGGTCCCCAGTCTAAGGCTCCCCTGAACCTACCCTTAGAAAGAGGACAAGGGAGATAAGCCCCTCCTCACCCTGCCTGGCTTCCCTAGGTGGGCATTTGGGTGGGCCCGGGCGCCCTCTTGTGGCTTCTCTTGTCTCTGCATGGGCCCTCCTCGGGTCCCTGTGGTTGGAGAGGCTTCCCATGCTTAGACCATTTCTCTGTCCCCAGCCTAAACCCTTTCCCCTCCCTGTTCCCTCCTTCCCAGGCTCCAACTGAAGTCTGAAAAACTCAGTCACAGCTCTCTCACTTTCTCCTGTGCAGACCTCAGAACCTTGAGATTCTCCTGCAAACCCCTTCAATGCTATCTCGGGGCACAGCCATGTGGCGATGTAGTGTATAGACATACTATGGGGTTCAAATCCTGACTGCATCACTTAGGAGCAATTGTACAACCTTACTGTGCCTTACTCTTCTCACTTTAAAAATGAAGGTCATAATAGTTTCTACCTTAAAGAGTTATGGGAATTAAGTAAGATAGTATTGGTCAATTTGTCTGTCAAAGCCTCAATACCATCCCCATCCTGCCTGCCTTTTTCCAGAATGACTTGTCGGCAGGATTCCCCGGGTTAGATCCAGGCAATGGGAGGCAGCAGAAGCACCTTATTGCTTCTCCAAAAGCCGTGGATCCAGAGTTTCTTTTCAGTTTTGCAGCCTCTGCAGATTTTCCCCTGAATACTGCCTTAGGACAAGAGGCAGCTGTGATCATTGCTGGTGCTCTCCTGCAGTTCCTGCAACTCTCTGAAAGCTAGAGGCAGCTTTCCCTAATCTTTACATTGCAACCCATCCGATGGGTTCCCGTACTGAACACTATTAATGATGGAGGGCTTCCTGGAGGAGGTGAGGTTGTTAGAATGACGCTAGGCCAAAAAAGCAGAAGGCTTCCAGTGCTGAATAATTCCATCTCAGTGCCCATTTGGGCCCTGCCCCTCCGCTCACCTCCTCACAGTTTCCAGGGAGACAGTTTCCAGGGAGCTTGGAATCCTCACATTGCTGTCACTTGGCAACCAGGAGCTGGTGGCTGCAGCCACCTCCCATGTTCCTTTCAACATCCTGGGCCCTCACCCTTATCTCTGGCATGGGCTCTGTACTGCCCAGGTAGTGAGGGCCCAGCTGGGGAAGCCCCTTCTACCTGCTTCCTTTCTCAGCCAATCACAGGCCTCACAGGGACAATTGAGACTCCTGTTGATGGTGGTAAGTGCCCAGAAAGTGCTGGGTGGACCAGGGGCAGGACACAGACAACCCTCTGATCCCAGAGGACCCTCTCTTTTATTCTCATCCATGGAGGACCCTGGAGTTCATGGGTGGACGGAACACAGTACTGGCCCAAAGGGCACACAGCCTAGCGCGAGGAACAGAGCTTACCTCATTCTCGTGATACACAGGTGCTGGAAACTACGCCATGCTGCCCGCTGGGCCACAGACTAGCAAGCCGCGGCTCACCCTTGGGGGTGGGGGTGGGGGAGCTGGGGAAAAGCAGAGGCCATGGTGTCCACTTCACTCCTTAGCAGTCATTTCTAAGCACCAAAGGCCACTTCCTCTAAACTCGGCAATTCTCTACCTGAGGGCTTTTCATGCCCCCGGAAGCAGCCCTCAACCAGGGAGTGAGTGCAAAAAACCACCTTAATTCTCTCATCCTCAGTTGGGACAAGTCTGGGAAATGTGTCTCCCAGAGTTGCTGGTCGGGGCTGAGCCCAGGTGCCCAGAGGTACCTGGCTTGATCACATAACATCTACTGGTCACTTCCTAGTCTCCCTTCCCTCACCCTCTTGCTGCTATTTCCTGGAATCAGCTCCCAAATAAACCACTCAAATCCCTGTCTCGTGTTGGCTCCTGAGGGAAGACTAATGCAGGGATGATGATGTATTATAGGGAACCAAAGTTCTGTGAGACTCAAGCTATAATTGTACGCAAAGCAGTGACTGAACCAAGGGAAGGGTGGGGGAGCTCTCTGCCCAGGTGCAGGCAATGAGGGGGTGTCTTGGCTGTAAAAAAGTTAAAAGCAGTAATAAAACTGGCCAGTCTGCTTTTTATTATAAACCAGCCATTCTATTAAGCTTCAATTATAAAATTCTCCTCCCCATTGAGGCGATGTCCCGTGCCCGCTCCTTGGCACCCCACTAATGCCAACTGCACTGAGGACAGAGAAATTGTGGGCAGAGGAGATGGGGGAAGGTCTCACTCAGGAGGCAGCACTGATCCCTTCATCACACAGGACTAGCCGCATTTCACACCTTCCTGACTCTGCGTGGGCCAGTCCCTTCTACGGGAATACTTTTGTGCCTCATTTCCCTCCCACTCTTCCATTACGGTTCAGTGCCGTTGGGCATCCCTCCCTGACGCCTAGCCTGAATTAGATGCCGCCTCTGGGCTTGCACGGACCTCCAAGTGCCCCTATGTCATCCCGTTCTGCGGATGGTAAGTCTGTGGCTCAGAACAAGGTGGCCTCTCCTCGCGACCTAATTTATCATCCGGTCTGTGGCGCTCCCTCCAGCTACCTGGAAAAAAGAGATTCCCGCTTTAAAGAGCCCCGCCCCGCCGGCGAGCGGCCTGCTGGAACCTTTACGTGCCCCGCTCCAGTTTCCAGCCGGCGCATTCGCGCTACTGGGCCGGCGCTTGGAGCTACTTCCGACGGCCGCGCTCCGCCCCCGGGCGTCTCCATTTTGGCCGCAGGTGGGGACTAGGCCTGGGCGGGCGGAGTAGCGGAGGGTAGTCCTCCGCCGTCGCAGGGCCCAGTCGGCTCACGGCACTGTCTCCCTTCCTTCCTCCGCCCGCAGGAGCCGGGGGCGCCCATGGCGGGCTTGGAGGTACTGTACGCGTCGGCGGCGCCGGCCATCACCTGCGCGCAGGACGCGCTCATCTGCTTTCTGCACTGGGAGGTGGTGACGCACGGCTACTACGTCTTGGGTGTCGGCGACCAGGTACTCCAGAGAGCCGGCCCGGGGCCGGGGTGGTGGGGGTGAGGTGTCCTCTGCCCGGATCCGGGGACCGGAGCTCCGGGCCAGAGCGCCTGACGCTCCCCCGCCCGCGTCCCGGCCCTGGGGCTCCTGGCACCTTCGGTTTGGTGTGCGGGTCGGGGAGCTGCTCTGCTGGCCTGGCCCAGCGCCCCTCACAACACAGCTGGGGCAACATGATTTGGAAACCCAAGGACAGAAGCTCGCTTCAGCACAGCCTCGCAGTCTCCCAGGCCAGGATCGTGTGGACCTGACACTGAGACGGGAGCGCTCCCCGTGAGCACTTCTCACCTGCCTGAACTCCGCCGAGCTCCTTCCCACACAGCGGCGAGGGTGGTACTCAATATTGTATTCGGGCCTCCACCGGATAATCTGAATCCAAGCACGCTTATACGGGTGATCTTTGATCTGTTCAGCCGCCCTCAGGGACCCTTTCTTTACTCCTCAGCACGGGCCCAGAGAGCACACACACCTTTCACCTTTTACTGAAGGGCCCAGTGCAGCCCACTCACCGCTGTCATCCCCAGCTCAGGTTCTGGGAAACAGCCACTATGCCACACCCCCCTCCCCACAGGTACACCCCTGCACCCTGGATCTGAGAGCCGGGTAAGGTTACCTCCCCAACTGCTGCCCCTACAGGGTCAGCCCCTATAGGGTCAGCCCCTCCCGCTCTCCCATCCTCAGGCTCTGCTTCTTAGAGCGGGGGACCTTGTCGTCACACCCACAGAGCCTCAGGACTACTGGGCCCTGCCTACTGCATAATTCTTTGGGAGAGCCTTTGGTCATCTTCCCTGCCCTGTCCCTGTGACTTTCACCCTTTACATCATCCTGCACATTAACTTCCTGGGAGAACTGGGCCTGGCCCCCTTTCTGCCCCTTCAGTTCTCTTCTACTTCATCAGAGAAAATATCCTCCCAGCCACACACCCCACATACACACGGGATTCCCAGCCTGACCCTCACTGTTGCCTTCTGACCCTCAACCTACATCAGCTCTGGGGAGTAGGGCATCTCACCCCTTGAATCTCTTGTGATGAGATTTTAACCTTACTCTCATTTCTAAGTGCTTCAGTTCTAACTCCCTAATCCTTAGTTTCTCAGACATACATCCAGCATCTTAAGTTTTCCTCTCCTGACACAGAGCTTTAAGGATCCCTCCTCAAACACAGTTTACACATCCCGAGCCCTGAGAGCCAGGCACTCCCTTCCATTCCCTGCTGCCCTATTCCTTTGTCCTTTAGAGCAGTGAGCAAGACCACCACCTCCTCTCACACTTAATGCCCACCAACAGGAGTCACGTCAGGACAAGAACTGTCATGGATGTCTGGCTCTTTTTTTTTTTTCCCCCGTCCCAGACCTCAAGTATCTCACAGGAACCCCAGATACACCCTTAGCATCCCCCATCCCCACCCCTCTCCAGGCTCACACATACTTGTTCCCTCATGTGGAATCTAGGACTGGATATAAGGCTGGAAAAGAAGGGGACTCACATACACACCTGGAGGCAGGAACCACATTTTCCTCCTGGATAGCTCTGTTCTTGGCCTTTCTGTCCATCCTGCAGTACATTCCACTTACCCTGCCTTTCAACATCTCAGGCCTTGGAATCCGGTACAGATGGGGTCTCCACCCACGAGTTTTGGGCTCCCGCTCCAGTGTATAGTGTCCCCGACAGAAACTTTATGTTTCCTCACTTGCCCCACTTCACCTTTCCAGTCCTGAATGACTCCTTCACTTGCCCCTGTCATTTCATTTCAGCTTTGCCTGGGACGTCCAGGAAGCTGATGTGTAGAATGGCGTGGAGTGCAGTGGAATTGGAGACGGGAGGAAGACTTACTTGGTCCAAGGGCCTCGTCCGTGGGCCCTCAGTTACCCCCGCTCCTGGCCCTGTCCGTCAGATCTAATGTGTCTGCCCTGTTCTCTGCCCCTCCTCATGGACCTCACCTTGTTTACTCCCAGCTGGCTATTTCTGCTCTGACACAGTCGGACTCTCTCGCCCAGAACAGGAACTTGTTACCGAGGGCCCGTGCCACTCCCTCTCTTCTCCTCGCTTCACAGGACATACCACCACTACATACAGATCTGCTCTCACCACTCGTCCCTTCACACACCTCTCCGCAGCTCTGAATTCTGACAGCTTAGGGACATCAGTTCATATAGGTCATTGCCTCCTTTGGCATCATCCCCTTGCCAAATACTCTAGGCCCCAGTTTTTCAGGTGAAACGTGCAGAAGGAATACAATCTCACTTTAATACAGGTTTAAAAAAAAAAAAAGATCCTTGCCTGATTCCTAAAGGTCCATCTAATTCCACTCTTCGTGGTGCCACCTGTTGAGATCATGCAGGCCAGAAAAAGATGCCGGCCCCAGATGTCACGCAGGAGGCCAGGGAGAATGGGGGGGAGGATTTTGAAAGGCACTGCCCACTGTCCACGTGTCCGCCCCGGCGCTGAATCATGCATGCCCTCTGGGGCCGGGTGTTTGTACTGCTCTGTGGTGTGTCTTTTTGCTTCTGTGCCCTTCCGCTGAAGTGCTGCTCAAGCTCGGGTTGCGCTTGTCCTCCGCTGACTTATGCTGCTGAGTCAACTTCCATGGGAGTAGAAGCCCTTTAGAAAGGCATCTATTAGTTTATTTAAGAGAGGGTTTAATTTTCTGGCCTGGGACCCGCAGACTCCGCTGAGACCAAGAGTGTTTGCCATGCTCAGAGGATGTTTATGTTGCCTCTCCAGCCACCTCCTTGTAGGGCTGATAAGGAGAGGGGAAGGTCCCAAAAGTGTATGCTTCATCATATAGTATATTGACAGTTAAATAGAAAGCTAAATAGTCTGTTTTTCTCTTTGGTTTTATCTCCTGTTGTGCAGGGCAGTTGTGTATGTAAAACTCGGTTAGAAGAGCAGTGAGGCCACTGGCTTCAATAAAAATCCAACATTTGAATTTGGATTACTTTTTTGGAGTTAGTACCATTCCTCCTAAGAGCTTTACGGAGGTGTCAAGTGGGTTAGGAGGCAAGGGGTTAGAGATGGCTATAGGTAACAGGTTCGGGAATTTTCTTTTCTTTCATAGGAATCTAAAGGTTATGACAAAAGAGAGGAAATGCCCAAAATGATCTGTTTGTGTTTCTTTGAGTGCATTTTAGCCCAGAGACCCGGGGTGAACTCATGGCCACTGAGGAATGCTTCTACCTCCAGGATGTTGCCTAAGTGGACAACTATCCTTATTTTCTTGGGGCCAGTCTAGTGGATCTGGCTGGGAAAAACCTCCAGCCATAGACCAAGCAGCCAGAAGCTCTGAATGCCAAACCCAGCTCTGCATCTGACTTACTGTGACCTTAGGCAATTCTCAGCCCCTCTGAGGCCTTAAATTTTTCATCTGAGGGTATTAAACTACACAGCCATATGCTTTGGCTACTTTCCAGTTGCAGCTTTCTGGGGGGCCTGATATTTGATGTCAGGGCCAAAACACAGTTGAAATGCCAAATCTGGCCTGATATCACCAGGGCCAGTCCCTCTTGGTCCCACCTCTTTTCCCCATATCAGGGCAGCCCTTGGGCTCGGACCATCAGTTCCCCTTCAACAAGAGGTATCAGCCTCATCAGACCCCAGGGTTCTCTCTTGCCCTAGAAGCCAGAGTCTGTGGAAGAGTGAGCAGACCAAATTACCATATTCCAAGAAAAAATTCTGGTGGGTTAAATGCTGTATGTGGAGGATATACATATAAATTCAAAAGCCTCTGACAGAGCAAAGATAAAGGCACGTTATCAAAATCTTAGCTTCCAAAGTAAACCTTAAATCCACTAAACCTGTTACAGGAAATGTACCCAGTTGGAGGTGAGGGATTGTTTCTCTTTCTCACTTGGCAGACTGGTTTGATTCGTTCCATTTTTGTTTTTCGTCACTCTCGTTTCTTTGCTGCAGGCTTGTGAGTTTCCTTGTCATCCAGCCAGCTTTTAAACCATGCCAGTTGCAACATCTTGAATTGTGTTTGGGACCACTTCCCCCATTGGATTCCTGAGCACCAAGCGGGTGACCAAACAGGAGAGACCCACGATTCTTTGCTCTTGGCCTCCCATTGTCCTTGATGTGTGTAAGGGCTGCAGTGCTGGACCTTTGTCTTTGCTATTGTTCTTCATCTTTGCTCCAGTTCCTCCCACCATATTCTTCTGAGTGCAGAGCTTCCCAATCCACTTGTTCCGTGTTTAGCCATATAAATCGGTATCTATGAAAAAATATATAGATTACTTTTGTGTGTTTTAAAAAAATTTTTACATAAATGGTACCAGGCTGTGAATTTTCATTTTTTCTTAGCTTCTGTTAAGTTTTTTATGTATATATAAATTTTTTTTTAAGTAGGCTCCAAGCGCAACACAGGGCTTGAACTCATGACCCTGAGATCAAGAGATCAAGACCTGAGCTGAAATCAGGAGTTGGGCACCCAATAGACTAAGCCATGCAAGCGCCCCTTAAGTTATTTTTTTAAGTTATATTTTAAGTTTTATTTTTTACCTTTATCTGTGATGCTACAATTTGATCCAGTTTGTTCCTTCTAACTCCTATGTAGTATTCCACTGTGAGCATATTTTTTCATTTCACCTTCATGTTGGTGTTCATGACAAGGTTGTGATGAAGATCCCTTGTGATGTCCCCTGTGCCTTTGAGCACAGAGTTTCCTCCAGGAATGGAGGTTTGGGGTCACAGGGTGTCTGTCCACTTACCTCGGTGCACACCACATGCTGCCAGACGGCTTTCCAGAGGGTTTACAGCAGTGCAAGTGGCCACCCGCAGTGTCTGAGGGTCCCCATTGCCCCCACACCCGCATGAACAAAAATGGAGAAATGGGTAATACTGGTGTGATGGGTGTAACGTGGAACCTCATCGTTTCAACCTGCACTTGTCTGAGTGTTGGTAAAGTTGAACAGCCCCCTATATACTGTTACCTGCTCTTTCTTTTGCTTGTTCATATCTTTTGCCAGTTTTTCAAGTGGGTTCCCAATTTTTATTGTTCATTTTCCAGGCATTCCCTTAATGTGCTAGTTACTCATTCTTTTTCATCTGTAGCCATGGCAAACATCTTGTAGCCTGTGGCTGCCTGTTAATGTTGCCATGTCTGTTGTTGAACAGAAGCTTCCAATTTGGAACAGTCTCAAAGACAATCCTTTTTTTCTTTTGTGGATCTTAAGAAATCTTTCCCCACCTAGAAATCACTCTGTTACTTTTTCCTATAGTTGAAAACCGATTTCTCAAACTTGAGTGTGTAGAAGGAAAGCCCTAGGATTGTTTAAAAGGAAAAAGAAGACCTCACACCTCATAGTCATGCATTTTTACACCCACCAGGAGGGCAAAAATATTTAAAATTGGACAGTGACAATGTTGCTGACCACATGGAACTACAAGGACTCTCATACAGGGTTGGTGGAATCCGTACCTCTTTGGAAGGCAGTTTGACTTTATCTTACAAATTAAAAGTTCTTTTCCCACACATAGGCTATAGAAATGCATCCCCCTGTGTCCCAGCAGATGTATACACAAATGTTCATAGCAGCGGCGCTTATAACAGCGGGCCTGTACACAGTCCACATAGGCATCAGCAAGTGAGCGTGTGCCTGGCAGTGTGCTCGAACACCACCACCCCATATAGTTGTGAACTGTGCTGCACGGAGCGCCGTGTAGTGCACCGTACGTGGTTAAATGTGTTGACACAGTGAAATCTCACAATAACTGACAAAAAAGGAAGCGATAAAGGTGATGCCATTTATATAAGTTCAAACACATGTGAAGCAATATATTTTTGGGGTTGTGTGAATAGTAATACAGCAATAAGGAAAAGTAAAGACATTTTAAAAAATACAGAGAAGCGATTACCCATGAGGGGAATAAGAGAGATTCATTAGGAGTACCCTACTTGAGGCTTTGGCAGTGGCGGTGTTCTCTTAAGCAGGTGGCACATAGGTGTCCACTGATGTTTTATCTTGTACATATGCTCCATTTTGTGTGTATGAAAATTGTTCATCATTTCTGTGAAACCACTACAGTAGTCCGGAAGGGAGTACGCTGGAATCTTTATTTTTAGTCAACACTTCAGTGATCCTCTTGCAGATGGTCCAGGTTCTGAACTTAGAAAAACACCGTCTTAGAATTTCACAGTATCCCTTCAGGCGATTGGCAAGGAAATTCTTATCGAACCAAGGCTGCAGATTCTGGACAGGTTCCAGTACTGTGTCACGAAGACAGTCAGCTACAAGGGAGGGAGCACTGGAGCCGGAGTCCAGAGACTAGGTCCCAGACCTCTAACTTGGACATTTTCTTTCTCTTGACCTCCATGTCCTCATCTGTGAAATGAGGAAGTGGGATTAGATTATCCGCAAGGTCCTTCATAGCTCAATGTGTTGAGCTATGAAGATCTTCCTCCTCTCAACCCTGGTGTCTTCTCAGCCAGGTCCCAATGATAAGAAATCAGAACTGCTGCCGGCCAAATGGAATAGCAATAAAGACCTGTATGTCCTCCGGTATGAGTCTAAGGATGGGTCCAGAAAGCTCCTTGTGAAGGCTGTCACCGTGGAGAACAGCATGATCATTAATGTGCTGGTGAGTCTCAGGGACATGTTGGCATCTGCTGGTGGGAGTGGACATTGGGATCACCTTTGTGCAGCCCATTTAACAGTACAGATCAAGAGCCTTAAATGTTTATGAGGACTTCACCCAGTGACCCTACTTTTGGAACCAAGACAGGAGTCCTCCATATAGAAAAGCTTTGTGCTCAAAGCTGTTCACCTTCTGGTATTATCAAGGGAGGGACTTCATCACAGGGGAATAATTACGTAATTTAGGGTAAATCCTTTCGGTGACAACAGGGTTGGAAAGAAGCTTACTGTAGGCCAAGGGGCTATTTTAGTTCTTTAGATAAGCCTAGCTCCCTGCTATCCTGGCGCCCTTACAGTTCTCATTTCCAGGGATGGAAAACTCTTCCCCACACCGTGGACTGCCTCACACACACCCTCCTCCCTTCAGCCCCTGCTAATTCCTTCTCATTTTTCACTTCCTCAAAAAGTATAGTCCTGACTACCTACTCTCACCTGTCAGAAAAATCTAAATTATGCCTCCCTACATTCATCATTTTATTTCTTTGCTGGTCCTTACCACAATTATGTACTTAGTGGTCCTTTGGTTTGATGTTTGTCTTCTGCCACTGGACTGTAAGCACCCCAAGGGCAAGGACTCTCTTGTTAAGTTTGCCCTGGTTGTCCCTGTGTGCTCATTAAAAGTCGCATGCAGTCTGTATCGCACTGTACCTGGCTGTTTTCACTCAATATCTTTTGGAGGTCTTTACATGGGAATGCATATAGATATACCTTATTCATTTTAACTACTATGTAGTATTCTGTAATACCGTAATTTATCCCTTTCTGTTTTTTTCCCCTTTATTTAAATTCAGTTTAGTTAACATATACTGTATTACTAGTTTCAAGGGTAGAATTCAGTGATTTATCACTTGTATATAACAGTCAGTGCTCATTACATCAAGTGCCCTCCTTAATGCCCATCACCCAGTTACCCCATCCCCCCACCGACCTCCCCTCCAGCAACCCTCAGTTTGTTCCCTAGAGTTAAGAGTTCTTATGGTTTGCCTCCCTCTCTGTTTTTATCTTATTTTTCCTTCTCTTTCCTTGTGTTCATCTTCCCCCTTTCCGTTTTGACGAACATTTACATCTTGTATCAGAGTTCTTAGTTATAAATAACAGAATTCCCTCAAGTTAGTTAAACAGATTTGGTTTATTAAAAGAACTGGGATAGCCATTGAATTGTTGGAAGGGCTAGAGAAACAGGTTCAAGGCAGGGCTTTCAAGACAGTGCCTCAAAACCACACCATGGAAACCGCTGCTGGTGCCACCACTCAGGCATGAGGTGCTGGCTTAGGCTGCAGGCCCTGGAGCCCCTTCTCATGAGCCGTTGATGCCTCTGCTGCTACCCTCGTCAGCAAGATGTCTGCCCCTTGCTGGGCCTGCTTTTCCATGTTGCCCACCTCCCAAGTCAGAGACGTGTGGCCATTTGGCACCTCAGTGACATGCCCGTGCCCAGACTACAAAAGAGCCTGGGAAGTAGGTTTACTGGGCTCTGCCTGAGAAAGGCAGTATTTCTAAATCAGAGCAGTCCCCAAGCATCAGAAGGTTATTTCGCTAAGTCAGAGAAAGACAAGTATCATATGATCTCACTGATAGGAGGAATTCTTAATCTCAGGAAACAAACTGAGGGTTGCTGGAGTGGTGGGGGGGCGGTGGGAGGGATGGGGTGGCTGGGTGATGGATATTGGGGAGGGTATGTGCTATGGTGAGCACTGTGAATTGTGTGAGACTGATGAATCACAGACCTGTACCTCTGAAACAAATAATACATTTTATATTAAAAAAAAAAAGTAGGAAGAGAAAAATGAAGGGGGGGAATCGGAGGGGGAGACGAACCATGAGAGACTATGGACTATGAGAAACAAACAGGGTTTTAGAGGGGAGGGGGGTGGGGGGATGGGTTAGCTCGGTGATGGGTATTAAAGAGGGCATGTATTGCATGGAGCACTGGGTGTTATGCAAATAATGAATCACAGAACACTACGTCAAAAAGTAATGAGGTATGGTGACTAACATAATAAAATTAAGTCTTAAAAAAAAAAGGGTATTTTGCATATTATAGACATTCCCGGTGTGTTTCTTTGTGCATGTATAGTTCTTTAACTTGAATATTTAATTGTTATTCTCCCATTAGTCCAGAAAAATCCCCAGTTTCTTGTTTTCTGTTTTCATTTTTCTAGGAAAGTGGGTCACAGCAGGTATCAGATTTGACCCTGAATTTGGATGATTATATCGATTCAGAACACCTGGCTGACTTCCACAGGTACTAAGTGATGGCTTTTCCCTGGGAAAAAGAAGAGAGAAACAATGGAATGGGGTGGAGAAGCCCAGAGAATCAAGAAAGGTTAATAGAATGCTCTTTGTCTCCTGGGCATAGTCACTTCCAGTACTGTGTCATGAAGGCAGTCAGCTACAAAGGAGGGAGCACTGGAGCTGGAGTCCAGACCCTAGGTCCCAGACCTCTAACTTGGACATTTTCTTTCTCTTGACTTCCATGTCCTCATCTGTGAAATAAGGAAGTGGGATTGGATTATCTGCAAGGTCTAAATTCTCTTTTCTGTTCTTAATTTATTTTAAGGTTAGATTCACATGGGAAATACCACATGAAGTAGAACGATGTAAGCAAGAGTCCATAAATGTTGCAGTGGCTCCAGGGGAGGGGGGGGGGGTCAGGCTGGTGAGGTCAGTCCTAGTAGGCTCCTGGAGAAAAGGTGTACCTAATCTGGTCTCCACCTCAACTTTTTCTTTTAAATGGACTTCAGTTTTTAGAGCAGTTTTAGGTTAACAGCAAAATCAAACATCTAGTGCAGAGAGTTCCCATGAACACCTTCCCCTCCAGCCACCCCCACACAGCCTCCACTATCAGCATCCTGTACATTGGTTGTAATGGAAGTACCTGCGTGGGTACACATTCTCACCCAGATTCCATAGTTTACATTCAGGTTCACTCTTGGCAGTGTGGGAGTATGTTTACCTTTTTATTTTTTTAAGATTGTATTTATTTATTTGAGATAGAGTGAGCAAGAGAGCACAAGGGGGGGGTGGGGGCCAGATGGAGAGGGAGAAGCAGGCTCCCCACTGAGCAGGAAGACCAAAACGATGCCGGCTTAATCCCAGGACCCTCGGATCATGACCTGAGCTGAAGGCAGACACTTAACCAACTGAGCCACCCAGGAGCCTCAAGTATGTTTATGTTTGGAAGAACCTGCCATACTGTCTTCCATAGTGGCAGCACGATTTTACATTCCCACCAGCAATGTATGAGAGTTCCTGTTGCTCCACATCCTGGTCAGCATTTGGTGGTGTTAGTTTTTCAGATTTGGTCATTCTGATAAGGGTGTAGTAGTATCTTGTTTTAATTTACAGTTCCCAAATGACATACAACTGGAGCATCTTTTCATATGCTTATTTTCCATCTGCATATCTTCTTAGATGAGGTGTTTGTTAAGGTCTCTGGCCCATGGTTGGTTGAGTTTTAAGAGTTCTCTGTATATTTTGGGTAACAATCTTTTATCATATGTGTTTTGCAAGGATTTTCTCTCAGTCTGGCTTATTTTCTCATTCTCTTGACTTTTTATTTTGAAATTTGCTACGCCACAGAGAAGATGGTTTGCTAAAAATATGAGGTGAATACCCATATACCTATCACTTAGGTTTACCAGTTTTTAACATTTTGCCACATTTGCTTAATTTTTCTGTGTCTGTTCTTTGAACCACCTGAGAATTATCTCTAGACTTTGTGAATCTCACCTCTAAATATTTCAGCAGTATCTCCTTGTTCATACGAGGGCATACTCCTATATAATCTTAACATAGTTCTCACACTCGGGAAATGTAGAGCAGATGCAGGAGTATCATTTAATACACAGTCCGTGTTGATATTTCTGCAGTCATCCTGGAGTGTCCTTTTTAGCTAGTGTTTTGGTTTTTCATTTGCGGGTTCTTTCTTACCCAACCAAAGATCCCATATCGCCTTTATTTTCATGGCTCTTTAATTCCATTTAATCCAGAACAGTTTCCTAGATGTTTGTTTTCCACGGCTTTGGTGTTTTTGAAGGTCAGTTATCATGTAGAATGTTCAGATTGTTTCCTAGTGATCAGATTAGGTTATTTGCTCATCATTTGATTCAGACTGAACATTTTTGACAAGAGCATTACAAAGGTGAGGCTGTGTTCTCCTCAGTGTCTCACATCAGGTGCAGATGTCTGTCTCGTTGATTGATCACTTGGTGGTGTCTGCCAGCTTCCTCTCTAGTAAGGGCATCTGTTTTCCTTTGTGTTTAATAAGTGATCTGTGGGATTATACCAGCAGACCATGAGTACTCTGAGACTCACGAGACTTCTAGCAGTCTTTCATCCAGCAGTCTTGGCATCTATCGATGATTCTCGCCTGAGTCTGTTATTACAGAGATGAATGTAAGACAGTAACTTTCTATCTTAATCATTCTTTCTACATTTATGAACACTTTTTTACAAAAAAAGTTTTCTATTCTTCCTGTCCCTTTTATTTTTTAAAATACCAGTGTAGACTTAAAGATTCTTTTGTATCCTAAGTTATGGTCCGTTTCTGTTGTTCTTTGGATGCTTAAGTTCTTCCACAGTTGACCAGTGGGAACCCTTTTAGGCTGCCTCCTTTGTCCTTTTGACATGTCCCCATCATTTGTAGAGTGTTTCATAACGTTCTAACACAGTAAGATGTTCTAGCCTCACCTTGTACTTTTTTTTGCCCCTGCCTTGAAGTCAGCTGGTTTTCTAAGGAGCCATGATTTCTGTTAGTGGGGAATCATATTTAAAAAACAAAATCTGGGCCCCGAATGTGCTCATTAATACCAAGGATGCCATTGCTTCTAGGCCCTTTCAGTGAGTGAATAGAGCTTAGAATCTTCCCTTAAAGTCTTTTCTTAAATTTTAAACTGATGCTTTCGTTTTTAATCTAACACCATGGGATTCTTACTCTTTTATTCTGTACTTTAGCTCTCTTCAACATATCTACTCATTTGTTTGATCCTAAAATACACACATAGTTTCTGACCTGCTACGTCAGTATCAACGAAGAATAAATCAAACAAATAAAGTTTCACATACAATTTCTTTCCAATTCTTTTTGTTCAGCTGTGTCCCACTGAGGATGTATATAGTCAGGGTATTATGTTCAGAGGGTACTTAGGTGAATGCTTCTTTCTCCACAAGTGTAATGAAATTGTTACACGGTTAGGCCCAATTATTCCCATTTTATTCCATTGTAAGACTTTTTTGCCATCGTCATTGACCTCCTTGATTTTAGAGGAAGCCTGGCATCGGTGTAAATTCACAGAACTGCCTAGAAACCCTGTTGCATTTTATTATATCTAATCAGGAATAACCATTTGAACCCACTCCACTCCTCTCAGACTTGCAAACCATCTGCCTCCATGATTGAGGCCACCCCTTTGTCTCTGCCCCTCTTCCGTGCAGTCTGTATATGAGGAGATCCCTACTTTTACTCCAGCTCCCCACCCTTCAGTTGATTTCCCACATAGTAGTCAGACCAGCCTTTTTAAAACGTAGTCATGGTTAAAACCCTGGCTTGAAATCCTTCAGTGATACCACCTCACATACATTAGGATGGCTAATATCAAAAAAACAAAAACAGAAAATAACAGGTGTTGTCCAGGATGTGGACAGATTGGGATCCTTGTGCATGGTTGGTGAAAATATAAAATGGTGCAGCCACTATGGAAAATAGTGTTGTGGTTCCTCACAAAATTAAATTACCATATGATCCAAGAATTGTGCTTCTGGGCATATACCCAGTAGCATTGAAAGCAGGGTCCAGAATAGATATTTGTATACTCACATTTATAGAAGCATTATTCACAATAGCTAGAAGGTGGAAGCCATGTAGGTATCCATGAATACCTAGAACAGGTGAATGGATAAACAAAATGTAGTATATATGTACAGTGGTATACATACGATGTGGTCTATACCTACAGTTATTCAGCTTTAAAAAGGAAGGAAAAGCTGGACATATGCTTCCACATGGAATGACCTTGAGGACATTATGCTAAGCAAAATAAACCACTCACAAGCAGACAAACACTTTATGATTCCACTTAGATGAGATACCTATAGTAGTCAGATTCATAGAGATAGAAAGTAAAATAGTGGATGCCAGGGCTGGGAAAATGGAGAATGGGGCGTTATTATTTACTGGGTACAGAGTTTCAGTTTTGCAAGATGGAGAGTTCAGAAGATGGGTGGTGGTGGTGGTGGTGATTATGCAATAATCTGCATATTTAACACCACTGAGCTATACACTTAACAAATGGTTATGTTGGTAAATTTTATATGTATTTTCCCACAATTAAAAAAATTTTTTTAATCTGAAAAATAGTCAGAACCCTCCAGTGAATGTTGTGTGCTCTTAGGATAAAGAACAAAATCCTTGATGAGGCCTAAAGCCTAACCCCTGCAACCCTGTCCCATACCACTTCCCCCTTAGTTGCTGTGCCTGGGTCACGGGCCACCATGCCCCACCCCCTTCAGATCTCTCCCCCGTGCCTAGAGCACTCTCCCTGATCTCCTCACACAATCAACTCCTGTTCTTCCTTCAGTTCCCATTGAAACATCACTTCCTCAGAAAAGCCTCTCCTGCCCCCCCCCACCATGTTTGAGGTTTCACAACACCGTTTTAAGCATTTAATAAGTGGGTATTTTATGATTAGAGATGGTCTTCCCCGCCCTGGCCTGTGATCTCCTTGAGGGCAGGGCCTGGGCCTGTTCTGCATATGGTGGGCAGTGGAATGAGTGCAGTGAGGCCAGCCCAGGGAGCAGCCCGAGCTGCTGTTCCGAGTGCTGCCCACTCCATGACCCCTGCACCCCTAAAGTGGGTAAGGAAAGGACGGAGCCTTTCTCTTGACTTCTTCCTTCTGGAATTGTATTGCAAGAGAAGGTGATGAAACCTGTGGAAGAACCCAGGTCCTGTACTAGGCTCTACATGCTCATTATAGCATTTAGTTCCCTTAGCAGTACTGAGAGAAACGGTGAGTGTCTCCATTTATTTATTTATTTATTTAGTACATTTGTTGGGGTTTTGTCCTGGGGGAGTGTTTTGTTTTTTTGATGACTGAAATGCGGGACCAACAGTACTACCTCAGGGTGTTCTGAGAACAAAACGAGATGTCAGCCCAGAGTGCTCAGGGCTGGTGCAGCAGCTCTTAGTAAACATACAAAGGGAAAAATATCTCATCACCGGGCACCATCTCCATGGAAACTGAGGCT